ATTATCTGAATTAAAAAATTCCTGAAATTAACCTCAATTAAGTGTAAGCAAAGTAGAACCTTAATAATAAATCTAATCAATTATAAAAAATCTAATAAGTTGATAACACATAACTATAATCAATGAAAACCAAATTAGCCCAATGGCTGTTATGAAACGGTACTTCGGCCCTCAACTACGGGTTCAATTCCCCAGGACACCGGTTAATTATATTTTTTTTTATTTTTTTTTATTTTTTAACATTGTCATCAACCTCCAGCGGGTCAAACCCGACCCGGTTTGTAGACCCATGGGGTTCAGCCATTACCATGGCTTCCCAAGTACATTTTAAGCCCGAAAAAATCATGAAAACATGATAAAATTCATGAAACTATTCTCAAATTTGAGACCAAATAAATCATGTTCCATTTTCAAATAAACCAATGAAAAAGCATGACCAAAATCATCATTAAGCTAAAGTAACATTATGTATAAGCCTAATGAGTCAATAGAACTTAGCAGAATCCAAATTAGATTTGCTAAAGTTTGTATTCAATTTCTCAAATTCAAAAGGATTCTAAAGGTCCAAACTTTAATATGCATTATACATTCATGCGTGTGTTGAATCCAAATAAAACTCAAATGTGATCCTAGAGGAATTAGGAAATAGAGTGATAATAATTATCCACCAAAATAATAGAAGCATGTGTTAAACAATCAAAAAAGGGAACTGAATTTGGATTTCATCATTCAAACCTGAATTCATGTCAACACATGAATCAAAAAGAATATACTGTCAGATCCAAAAATATTTAATTTGGATCCCATATATTATATTTCATACATGTACCCTCAATATTCACTAATCCGAAAACAGCAATCAGATCGATCCACATAAATAAAATGTCACACGGATGAAAATAAATTGATTCTCCAAAATCCAATACGAAGAGGCTCTGATACCACTTGTTTGAAAAAAAATTTAACCTTATGCGAAAACCGCTTTACCCCAGGAGCATTCATATCGAATAATTGAGAATCAAACCGAATAAAAGCGGAAGCGTACCGTACTTCATGAATTCATTTGCTTGATAATTCTCGTGTGTTGTTTTTTTCTAAACGATCTTGTTGGACTGGTATGGTCTTCCAAACGATCGAACCTTATAGCAGATTTTGATCTGTAGTGTTTGTATTGGATATATATCTTTTGTATATTCCCTTATTCTGAAGTGAGAAGGTGAGTGCTTTTAAAGGGAGAAAGCACCCCTTCATAAATCTGCTCGTGTCTTTTCGTCGTTTGGGGCCATAACCAAATAAATAAGAAATATTGATTTTCAGTTCGGTCCCTCAACAAACAGAAAATCACATAATGGTATCTACACTTTTAAATCCATAACAATTTGATACTCTCTTTATTCAAAATTATAAATTAGTAGATCACTTTAGTTGAATAATATTATGACAACTATACACATTTAATTTACATATGTTGTCCAATAAAATATTTCTAACACCCAATGGATGCGGCGGCGTTGGGTGTTGTGCAGGCGGGTTGTCGGAGGCGGGGAGATGAAGTGCGTGTGGGTGCGTGTTTTTTGTGCGGGCGTGTGTGTGTTCTGTGTTTGTATAGTGTGTGTGAGTGTGTGAGAGATAAAGAGTGGGTGGGATGGTGAGGTGTATTAGCCACGTGTCAGAAAACTATTGGCTGTGGGTTAGTGTTAGTTGGCATTAATTTTTAAGATGTCAAATATACCCTTAATGAATAAATAAATGCTGAAATTTTTGTATCCATTAGATCATCGGATCCAATGGTTACGATTTATTCTCATTTCTCGCATTAAGAGTCATTCTCACCGGAGCGTGACCCTATATATATATATATATATATATATATATATATATATATATATATATATGTATATATAATTGCTGACTCATGAGTATTTAATAAAATTTATTAAATTATACTTATGTGGCAATATGACTTTTTTCTTCGTTACTTTTTATTTATTTAATCTCTCGTTTAATTATTATATAATCAACAAACAAATCACTTCAAAATTACAAAAACTATTTTAAACTTTTGATTACTTACATCTGACCATATAAAATGTGTTGACCATTTAACGTGATTAGATGTCATTGTTGTGGGTACATTTAAATTAACTTATTTTGGAAAATAAAAACCGTATTTGAAAATCTGACCGCGCGTCGCAACGCGGCAAAATTAATATTTATATTTTTCCCCAATTAACCTCTACTAACTAGTAGTAGCGGCAAGTAAGGGTCGATCCCACGAGGAGTGTGAATCAAATCGTGAATTTTCTCGTATTAATTGAATTATAAAAGCAGTAAAAGAGGGGGGGATTTTGAATTTATAACTAAACTAACTAAAAATGAAATATAAATAAGAAAATAAAAATAAAATAAATTAAGAGAAAGCTTCTAGTTCACGGTTCCGTCTACACCCTTGACCGACTCGTCTAATCAACTTTGGTATTAAATCTCGCTATCTCATGAAATTACTAGCCCTAGGTAACGCAACAGTCTGTTACCCGAATTTTTTCTTATTTTTAATTTAACCGCGAGACGCTCTACGATTAAACCTGACTTCTTGTACAGTCCAGAAAAACGTTTTCAAGATTTAATACAATTAGCCGCTTTACGAATTAGAAAAATAGGCTAGACTAAGTAGTGAACTCAACCGCGTTCGTTCACTTAAATAGGCCGTGTTATCCCCGGTAGTTATCATCTTCCGGTTACCTCTTATGAATTAAACACAACAACAATTACGGATTGCAGGTCTAATTCAGATGTAGTAATGAAAAGTCTAATCTAGGTGATCAATCTAAACAAGACTCACACATCATGGTGAATTATTCAAAATAACACAAGCAATTCCAAAAAAATATTAAAATTATCAACCACGTAAATTAATCAAACATCGTCAAGTCGTAGGGTTCAACTTCCCCGAAACTAGAAATAAACTAGCCTAACATAATAATAAAAATAAATAATAATAGAGAAAAGAGAGAGAATAAAATTCTCCCTCGTGTACGGGTGCGGCCTCCCTCCGCGATAATCGGGTTCCTCGCGTTCTGTCTCTCGTACGGTGCTGCTCCTTTTCCTTTTATCTGGCTGCGTTCTTTTCTTTTCTGTTATGGCTCCCAATTCTATTCTTTAAGGGGTTGCGTAAATAAATCACCCTCTCCTGTGTGAATAAATTCTCTCTAAATTTTCCCCGTATGATGTCTTTCCCTAATTGGCTTAATAAATCCAAGTGGCGTATTGGACTTTGTCCAAGAATTCATAAGTGGTGGGCCAACTTGTTTTATCTCATCCTTCACATGTCATCTATTAGGCTCACCTTACAAACCTGAATTCTTGACCCAATGAAATTAATTTCTCTAAGTCCTCTTACGTGAATTTCATGGGCTCTGTTGGACGTCTGAATATGGGGTGCTGTAGGGCCAGTACGGGACACCCCCATATTCTGCCGGTTGGAACTTCCGTTTAATATCTCGCCGTATATAAGAGTAGCCCAATAGTCTGAAAATAATGCACAAAAATATCATAGCACTCAAATCCATCTAATAAATAAATAAGTCGAAAAACATATAAGTGCGATAAAAATTAAGCATATAAAAATACGCTAATAAATATATAATATACACACTTTTTCCGACCAATCAAAATCCTAAATAAATAATAAATAATTCACAAAAAAATACATACCAAAATAAACATTACATCCAATATGATAAACGCGATTTAAAAAATTAATATTCTAGCTCATTTAATTGTAAATTTGGTCTGCAAAAAAGTGTAAGAAAAATCATTAATCACTATATGCATACAAATAAAAATCATTAATCATTATATGCATACAAATAACTCACAATACTTTATTTATATTTGTGCAATGCACAGGTCGAATAGTAGTAAATATTGAATAAAGGCTGAAATTTTAGGCGGGAAAAACATGTAGGTTTTATTAATGGCTTAGCCAATAATTATATATATATAGATATAAATTACTAAAATATGATTACACTTAAGCAATATAAAAAAATGTAATGGCTTTACATAATTGGTTTGAAAAATGAGTGGGAAAATTTTGTTATTTGCATTAATTTGATAGCCTGAAATTATGGGATAAATTACACAAACTTGGTAAAAATTAATACCAAGACGTCGTCGTATTCTGGAATTAGGAAATATATTAAGTGTACTTGAAGCATTAACAAGCACCAGTGGTGTAGTGGACCTATTGGTGGAACAATTTCCTTCCACGTTATATAGACCTGGGTTCGATTTCCAGGTGCTTCAAAAGCTGTGATGATAATTGCCTCAAGCAATGGATGGGTCCGTTGCACTATTCTGATACTTTCAGGATGTGAATTAGGCGCTTCTGAGCTTCATTATTTTTTTGGTACTTTTTTTCCTATAGTTTCTTATCTCCTCAAGATATATTGAAATTTGTAATATTTTTTTGGTATTTTTTTCCTATAGTTTCTTATCTCCTAAAGATATATTGAAATTTGTAATAAAAACGCCAATAATAAGTTTTTAATGATATTTTAAATATAATGTTTTATTTACAAACCGTTGGCCTTCTATTAGACCGACCCAATCATTAGACCGACATATTCAATGAATTAACCATTAGACCGACATCCTCATTTTACAAATATTCATATTGTCATAAAAAAATGTCATATTTAAAGAACAATATAAATAAAAAAAAAACACATTTAATACTAGAAGTATTTATTTTTATTCAAATAGTACAAGAGGTCGACTAGCCTAACGTTGATAGACCGTTAGTTTTTAGATTAAAGAAATGGAACGAAAAACACAATTGATCTATGTACAACAGAACAAGAAAATCTTCGTACTAGGATTTAGGAATGAACTTACAATCGTCTCCCAAAATACACAGCAAACTGAAACGATGCTACAATGAATTTACAAATGACTTGAACCCACAGCAAACTGAAACAATGCTACAACGAATTTACAAATGTAAGCCGGCCTGCATAAACATCGTGAACGTGTACTACAATCATATGTGTACCACATAACGTCAAACCGAACAGAATATTACTACAAATTATGTCATACTCTCGAGATATTGACACGATTCTTTTTGCTTGAATGTGGCATAGAGAAACAAAAAATTCCACACAACCACCAAATGCCACCACACGTTCAATAATATGCCAGAAAGCCAAACAGTATGGATGGTTTTTTCGACTATACTTTTTCACTGCCATCTTGGTTGCCATTTTTCAGTATATTGAACTTGCAAAGAGGACAGGTGGCATTTATGTAGAGCCACTTGTCTATGCAGGCGGAATGAAAATGGTGGCCACAAGGGACCTCACGCAGTTCAGCTCCATCATCATAAGCACTCAGGCAAATGCAGCATTCCTGGAATATCCATATTCAGGAACATTTTAGATTTTAGAATAAACCCAGTATTTTTATTTTTTTTTTCAAAAATACGAGATATAATCGCCACAATGCCGTCTATTTGCTGAAATTACAATAGCATCACCGCAGATGAACAATTACATTCACATTTAACTTAATTATTATTCCGAAATAACAAGTACCCACTCGTGATTTAATGTAGATTACTGAAAGCCACAATATGCACAGAAATGTTTTTTTGTTGTACCTTTCTTAGGAATTTTTAGAAAGTTTGTATATTAAGTTTGATGTGCGCCAAATTGGTGTATTTTTCTGGACATGGACCAACTCAGCGTACCAAATAAAAAAGAACGCCGGCATAGAAATGCACCAAAGATATTTCTAAATTCAACGCAATGATTTTGTAGTATATAACAAAGTCCAAAAGGATTGAAGGCATTGCGTTATTTAAAAAATAGAACATGGTGCAGATAAACATACAGCATCCTCTTGAGGAAGGACATGCTCTGTGGGTGAGTTACTGTTGCATTCAGTCATTATTCCTCCATAAGAACCTTCAGTTTCACTGCTTTGCTTCTCGAGATCACTGATTTTCTGGAACTTGCATCTAGGTAGCCTCTCAATGTCTTCCTTAGTAGCTCCTTCCTGTAACACAACACAAATCAATAAAAAACAAAAAAAAGATAAATCAATTCTTACAGCAAAGACTAGATTAATGCTAAGAAAAGTTAGATTAAATTCTTCAAGGCCAAATATTTCTCCATAGATAGTCATCTCATTGCCAAACATAATCACATAGCTTCGTGCTGAGGAAAAGTTGGATCAAATGCAAAAATCCTTGCAAAGATTTTGAGAGTTAGAGGTGAAAATGGCAGGAACTCTAAAATCTGGGATACGAGGTACCGATAACTTCAAGCCCTCCAAATTTGCTTCAACTGCTTATAATAAGAAAGGGCAAATCCAATTACTCCATATTCAAACCATACCTGATCAGCAACAGCATACAGCAAGTCCAACAACACAAGCAACAGCAACACAGACGACCACAAAGAACACGTCGAAAGCCAAAGATGTAATGCAAAGCCTGCAAAAAAAATTGATTATATGTAACAGAAAGAGATCCATACGTTAAAGGCTGAAGAAAGCATGCTGAATTTTCGACAGACCAGTAAAGCTGAGGTGATTCAGTAGTCAAGTTTTGGCCACCAGCTGACTCCCAATAGAACCCGGTTACCCACCAAATGAACGATAACATAGTATATGCAGACTCCAGATGCTTAGCAAAGCTGTCAAAAATCATCAGCAAGTTGTTACTAAGATTGCTGTACTGGGTATGAATGATTGTGTTCTTTAATCAGAAATTGTTCACATAACCAACATATCCACCCACATGAATTCCGCAAAATAACTTCGTGTCTGTTCAACTAACAAGCTCAAATCGGAGTTAATGCACAGCAATTTCAGACTAAACTCAGACCCTCATTTCGAGAAAAGCATATTTTCAATTAATTGTACCTAGCTTCATCATCACTTTTCCGGCGAGCGAAAAAGTAACCGCCGGTATCGGATTCATCACTTCCCAAGCTCGAATCCGAGTAGCTCCGACTATAAACGAAGTGACCTCTCCCGCTCGCTTCTAAATCCCGCTGCGAGTTCCTCTTCTTATACTCCGACCAAACGCACACCACGTGGAGGACGAGCTGCACCGCGTAACCGACGATCCAGAGCCTGCACTGGCGGCGCCTCGTAAAGAATAAAGCAAGGGCCTTTTGAGAAAATTTAAAAAAGCTAAATTGTAGTGGATTTCAGATGTTAAATACAACTAATTGGTAATCTGTGTAATTAGATTCTTATAAAAGGGCGCAGGGGGTCTCTGTAATTTGAAATATTCGCAATATTTAGAGTTAAAATTAATGAAATTGAAATGGCCATTTTTCCCCTTTCTGCCCTATACGCTGAGCTGTTACCGTTGCCATTAATGCACCAGCGATGATTCTATGCAAGAAATTAGAGATATTTCGAGCTCACCATTTGCATTTCATCCATAATGTCTTTTTGTGGGAGATTTTCTTGAATCCTGCCTATATTGGATTTTTTTTTTTTCCATTGTTACAGGCATATAATTTAGTATCATTCTTGAAATGAACATTGACTGGAGTTTCGGCATAGCAAAGACTCGTGTCAATATTTTAGTGTCATTCTTGAATATTCATTTGATGTGCTTTTTAAGTATATAATGCTCGGAGCGGAGTATGAGAATCTTACATAATTCAGACATAATGGACTTCAGTGTTCAAAGCATAATATAATCAGTAAATTGGCTTTTTAGACATTTTCAAATACAAAAGATAATTTTAGTCATGTTTTATAAAAAAATATAATTTTTTCTTATAATAATAGTGCATGCACCTCATGAGGTCCATAAATATATATAATATTATATATGAATGACTATTTTGTCCCTGATGTAATTGTATTATTATGATTGTGCCATCAGAAGTTTTCCTATAAATAGGAGCTTCAGTTATAATGAAAATACAACCAAGAGAAACATTTTATCTATTCTCTCTTTTTCTCTATAGTTTTATAACACGTTATCAGCACGAGTCTCTGCCCTCTAGAGTTCGATTTATAATATGACGAGAGTATGCTCTACAGTTGCGTATTATAGACGATCATCTGTATCAGAAACCAAAATATTACAAATCGTTATTTTATTGAAATCATTCTTCAAGTTCAAAGAAAATAGTGAAAGAAAAATCATACCGGATGAGTTGTTGGTTGAGGGAAGTAGAAAGCCGTATCTGAAGCTGATGAAGGCCAATTCATCGACGGTTTCCTTATAGATCGATGACTATGCCCAGCTAGCTTATCTCATTCCAATCAGCTTGATTTTCAGCCGAAAACTGGTATGATAATTGTTTAACTAGTACGTAACCCGTGCGATGCACGAGATGTAAAATTTGGAAGAATAATATAACCTCACGTGCATTAGGATCGAAATTGAAATCATTAAAATACATAAGAACATTGTTGAATCATAAAAAGTTTGTAACAATCATATATTATTAAAAACCTCTTTGTACACAACATTATGAGTTTGATTATTTGGTAACTCCACATTATCACAAACTAATATTTTCAAAAGAGACAAATCCTAAAAATCAAACTAATATTTTTGGTGAACAAACTAATATTTTAGGATTGGTGAACAAACTAATATTTTAGGATTTTTAGGATTTGTCTCTTTTTGCTGAACAAACTAATATTTTAGGATTGGTTATATGAATAAGGCTACCTATTCAGTGTTCTTTTCATTCATTTTCATTCAAACAATCCGATGACTTGTATAATGAAATCAGAATCTTAAGCCGAAATATTTAAAAAAAGAGTTTTTAAAAATTGAAAAGTCAAGGCAATCAGTTCAGATTAATTAAAGGTCAAAGAATATCCGCTCCTTGAAATAAAGACGTGTGATATCATTAACCAAATATCCGGTTATTGATATAGAGTGGTTACCAAAAAATAGAACGCGATAAGGACGCTTCATGAAAATATCAATGGGATAAGGTCATAACAGACCGCTATACATTTTAACGATAAAAGCTCAGATGGAATGATTTATGATAATTATATCGTAATTAATAAATTAATTAGATGTGTGAAAAATACATAATTAATGAGAAGTGTGAAAATGACATAATTAATGAGAAGTGTGAAAAGGACAAAAACTTACCGGTTTTGGAAAATATTTAATGCAAATCCGACATTGACCATAATTTGACTTACTATTTTGGATAAATGTTAATTCTTATTATATAAGTATAGATTAATTAAACTGACTCTTCTCCTCACAGTTGTGCGTGTTCGCCCAACTCTCTATATCTGAAGCTTGTGTCTGTTGTGCTGCGTGTCACAAGTAAGAAAGTCTCAACTAAATGTCCTTGAATTAATAATTAATGCCTCAAATGCTCTCTCACATCTCACTGATTGGCACAAATTGATGATGATTGTATTTGACATTGCAATGCATATCTCATTCCGCAATTATTGACTTGGATTTATATCATGGTTTAAACATGGCCCCCACTCATTGATTCAATTGTGAAAGTGGATTAGTTGATCAAACCACCAATTTATTTGATCATTAAAATTCATTAAATTTACTTTATCATTAAAACTAGATTTTGCCAAATAAAATAAGTTTTGTTTATCGAAATAAACTTATTTCACTTTCATGTTACTCAATCTAATGATAGCTTCATTTCAAGACCAATATTGATATATTAAATTATATATATTGGTATTATGAAATGTACGAATTTTTCTATTGAGAAAAATATTTGGAAAATAGAAATGTGGATATTTGTGATCCATGTGATATAAAAAGAAATATGTAGTGCCAGAAGCACATGTACAAAAGGATAATTTATCAAATGAGATATATGATAGAAAATTATCTCTCTTATATAAGACTATATATTTACGTGATTTAATTGTCCTTATTTATGAGCATATCTTGTTTGATATGTATCCTATTATTATTAACATTAATTGTTAATAACTGAAAGTGATATGTCCAGTAGACATTATCATCTAGATAAGGATTATTTTCAATGATAGAGGAAAAATAAAATATTAACTTATGAAATATCTCATAATTCAATTATTACTCCTAAAGAGATATGTAGTGTCTAAATCAAATAGTATTCACTTAAGAATTGATTTATTATACTTTGATGCTCAACTTATATGTTGGATAATTAGCATGAGCAGTTGGGTCATATTGAGCAATTATTTATCATAATTTCCCCAAAATGATGCGTGGAAAATTGAACATTTCCCATCTGCGATTTATTATTATGAACAATCTTATATCACCACCAATTCGTAACTTTATGGGCCAATATTATAAACTAGGTATGCTATGATACTTCGTCAGATTTTTAATACCTAGAGGCCATTATAGGGGGTCAATTTATTATTTGGTACGTATTGTGCGACAATATTTAACGGCATTAGGGGAGATATGAGCATAAATTTATTAATGCCGTAAAATATTTGAAATATTAATGTTTTCATTATCTGAAACCACGCAATTGAACTTGAAGTTCATATTACATTTCTGTCAAACGAAATTTATAGTAATAATGGAGTGAACAATTTGTATATATCTAAATGTACCACAAAGTAAGCAAAATCCCTAGGGAATGATTGATTCCTTAATGCTAGAAGCATAAGGTGATATAATTAACATATGATGTGTGAAAGTCCGCGGAAAATATATATTCAAGATTTAACACTCCTTTATAAAGAAACTCTTGGAGAGTTGATCCAGTACATCTTGCACGTGCATCAAAACATTATAGTACTGGAAATGCGGAATAGCCAAAATTAAATGTTAGGAGAAATGATTATAAATATGGCTACTAAATATGAAGTTGCACATATGGTTGAGAGAATATAAATTGAATATTATAGTTGTCGACAACATAATTGCCTATGTGATTTCTTTGCTATCTCAAATAATGATCCGGATCAAAAATAATGAAAGTGATAGAAGCGCTTAGATTGATTGAGATAGAAAGAAAAATAAAGGCAGAGTTTTCACTCGCTAGACGATATATCCCAGAAGGATAGTATATCCCAGAAGAATGAATACTTATATGTGATATGGTGGTGTGATGTAAATATAGCGAGATTATGGGTTTACGCAGAGACCCAAAATTTTATAAAATTTCTCTCATTATCAATGATTCCGCAAGTTAATATATATGGCAGCAAAATTATCATGACTATTGAGTCATATGTGAAAGTCCTGGATAGACTTGAGTACTCGAGATGAAAGCTAGTTAAATCATTTAATTATATAAAGTTGTTGATAAGATGTGGTACAACCAACAAAATTCTTCGTGAAGAAGTATTCAAGGTAGAACCTTGTGTATAATATACAAAATGATCATATCGGTTAAATAGATTATGTTATGAACACTACGTAAAATATTAAATAAGTTAGCTCATGCTTATAGACGGAGTTATAATAAAACTCTTGGTTAAATATGAAAGAGTATAATCTCGACTTGATGATTGAGCATCTCCTAGAAGGAGTATTTGTAAAGATCTACTCCTTCGTCTAAAAATCCAAGCAAACCATGAAAATAGTTATTAAAATTCAATAGACATATGAGCTTATTATGAAGTTTCAATTCTGCCCAAGAAGCAATGATAAACATTGTCATTAAAGTTCCATAACCACCTGGAAGAATGATAAAAGCATCGCTATTGTTCACCATATCCATCATACAGTCATAAATAGAATGAGTTAGCATCAAACTTGTGGAATCTTTGACGACCCTTGTTGAAGCTCTATGAAAAGGTATGATACTTTTCACTTCTATATCAAAACATTTTCCAGCCATTAAAAGATTATCAAAGAAAGTGATGCTAGTTCCTCCATACAGTAAATTGATTTTTCGATTCCCCATCTCCCTTACTAGCTGACTTACAATATCAATATTTTGAGAAAAACTTATCAGTTTAGAAACACCAAGAACACACATGGTTTTGATCGGATGAAGAAATTTATTACCATGAGAAGACTCTGAAACATCCATCTATTTATTGATAAACTAAATTTTGTGAGATATATGATTATGATGAATGACTCGCTATTTAAATAGGATGTTTTACAAAACGATAACCGACAGATAAGGCGTTAAGTCTTCAAAGAATCTTATCTGTCGGCGGCTATAAGATTTTCTGAAAATTACAGTACAAAATACAGAAATGTATTTTTCGTACTAGCAAGAACAATTTTTACAAACTTCATCTTTTGAAACAATATTTTCGAGACTATAACGTTCTTCTTCATTTTTGAAACGAATCCATAGAGACATAAGCTCACGATGCACATAACCACTAGGATGTGTCTCAAGAATCTGTTGAATCGTTTGATCCATAGATTCTTTACTCAATCCATCCTTTATAAATAATATTTTATCTTCTCGATTTTTGGACACAAAGCCCACAGATGTACATCGTGTGTCACAAGTCCATCGAGCGCATTTGAAGCATCCACCTAATCTTTTTGCTCTTCATTTCTTTGCAAAAGTACTTTTACCCATACCTGGCATATATTTGTATGAATTTGAAAACTCTCCAGACAATCGAACTTTTGCTTCAATCAACCATCGAATATCACTTGGAATATCATTAATCATTAGCACCCTCAACCTTTCTAATCGAGATCGATAAATCCTTTTTATGATATTTAT